CCCCAAAACCCCAAAACCCCAAAACCCCAAAACCCCAAGTTACTCATTTTAATTTGAATAATAATAGATATTGATCACACTCTGCTTGCTTACTATTTAGACTTATTGGGGCTGGTCTTAGTGTTTGTAGCCACACTAGGTAGTCTCATTCTGGAAGGAACTTACTCGATCGTGGTTGAGAGATTTACTAGTTTCAGCTTCGCAAGTTGTGTCCTCTACAATATTATACTCTCAATACCTGGGTGAATAATTTGTTCGTTTTGATTAGTCTAAAAGTCACAACAGTTTCATTACCTTCGTCTTTTGGAGGACCTTTTGCTCTTTCGTTGGCTAAGATAATGGAGGGATTTCTACATTTGAGATGACAAAAATACCTTCCGGAACCCCTGCTGCATCTAAAAATGTCACTGTGATACTTACATCTTGAATGACAGCCTTATTTTTCAATAATTTCCTGGATTGGGTCAGCCTCTCTTCTGTTGGCACTAGTAGGATATTCTTGGAAAATATCTTTAAAAATCTCTATTGTCTTCGATTCCTCGTATTTTCGTTTGAAGTTGTCCTATTTTAGGTGAGTTTTTGAGGCTTACATTAAGATTTTGGTAAAGATCCTTCCTGTTTGAGATAGTTCTGATATACCTCATCAGAGACTCAGCTGTTAGGGGTAAGAATTTGCTCTTTTCTCGAGCCTGAGAAGAGTCAGAAAGTGATTTGTAGTTCTTCCGAACGGAATTCTCTCTCTTATGGTCGCTAAGCTTATTTCTCATTTTTCATAATTTCAGTAAACTTCTGCTGCTTTTCACGACAGATCAGGAAATCTAGGCGTTATGGTAAATTTACTTTTGAATTCTTCAAGAGTGAGGGTTCCTGAACCATCAATGTCTATAACTCTGAACATCTGGTTGATCCCTGTTTTGCTAAGCCGAATGCCATTCGCTTTAAGCAGATCGGCTATGATGAGGTTGGCAGCTTACTTAATTCATTAAGCTCGAGAGTCCCGGATCTATCACTATCAAAGGCCTATGGCTGTGATTTAAGAAGTTACTTCGAAGAGGTTTCTGATTTCAACATCTCTTTGCTTCTCAACACTTTTATTTATCGCTTATAAGACGAGGGACGGATAGTTTTCTGAATGTAGCCAGATTAGGTTTAGATGTATAAATATGGCGTTTTAATAGAATTCTTAGGTTATAGTATTCGTTCGGGTTTATTATGATATAAAACAACTTTTATAAAGACATATTATAACTCTACTTTGCTTACTTCAACTGGTTTGGGTTATGAGAAATTGATTTATTCCTCTCACTTTTGAGTAAAAATGACTGCTTATGAATATTCAGAGAAGTATTTTTAGTGCAGGATGTATTCTATAAAAACTAAGTTTCTTTATCATAAATGGCGATGAAGTTAGTCAAAGACAAATATTTAAAACTGTCTTACATCTCTAATCGATCAGCGTAATTTATTCGGACGGTATCTCATATTCCGATTGTGTAGAGTTCTCTGTTTTGTGTATGAAGGTTCACTGTCAAATAGAAATGATTCTCTAGGGGCATAATGATTTTTCTTACTTGAGTTCGATTTCTATACAGTATAAACACCTAGTTGGGCTAAATCAAGTCCTCATGAAGTGTCAGATAAGTTATAAGCCTGATTGAGACTTGCAGACTTGCTCTGGCCAAGAATGCCACAGTAAAACCCCAGAATACTTACTTGATTTCCAGAATGGCTGCATATTGGCTAATATAATAATGGTAAATAAAAGGTATTTAGGGGTTTTGGGGTTTTGGGGTTTTGGGGTTTTGGGG